GTAGATGATCACCTTCTGCAGGCTGGGGAGGGGGTGTCCCTTTTGTTCCCCAGCAGATGCTCGGAGGTAGCTGATGGAATCCCATCTGGGAGCCCTGTGGCTGACCCTGCCAGGCCAGCCTGGCTGGAGCTGCCCCCGTCTCCGAGACACGCTGCAGTTCCCTCGCTTTGGGAGACTGCTGACGGGACAGGATTCCCAAGACCAGATAAAAGGATCAGGCTCTGATTCCCAGGCCACCAGACAACCAGCCCTCATTTAAATACAACATAAACCAGTCCCCCAACTGTTTCTGGGGGATGTTGGTGAGAACGAGACCTCCAGACTGGCCGTGAGGGAGATAAGCGCCGAGATGTGACTCATCCAGCTCATGAGTGCCGGGGCTGGGGTGGTGACTTGGCACAGCTGGAGAAGGGAGACCTGCCCTTATCCGTATGTCCGGCAGCTGCAGAGGAAGCTCCACACCCTCCCTCTCATCAGCTGGGGCCAGTTGTTGCAGGGGAATGGCTGATTCACATCTTGATCTCATCGTGGGCTATGGCTCTCAGTGTGCTAATAGACCTTAACGGCCTTGGCCAACTTCACCTGGGGCCTCCATCCACACCCTCCATCCATTTAAGCTCAGCCTGGGGCTTTGTTTGAGCTGTGTGAGCACAGAACTTCAGCTCAGCCATATCCAGTTAGAGACCCTGGTGATTCCAACTTACAGGCTGATTTTTCTGGCTTGATACTAGCCTTGCCTTGTCACCATGGGTCTGCCTGGCAATCTCTGGGCCAGACACGGATTTGTGGGCTGACTACCCAGCTTAGCCTTGGACCTGCCTCATCGCTGTGAACTTACCTGGTGATTTTGGCTCTTGGTTGAATCCAGCCGCGCTCTCTGAACCTGCCCTGCTTTCTTGCTGTGGTGGGGTGGAGTGTTGGCTGGTGAGGCCCCTGCCTCTGCCAGCTGCATTTCCCCTCCTCAGCTCCTGGTGCAAAGGCCTCTGCTGCTCCCTGATAAATTCCCACCGCCAATGCTGTTGTCTGCCTTTAATCTCACCTCAAGCACTGTTCCCATGTGCAGCTGTGATGTCCTGCTTCTGCACTTCATGCATGTAAGTGCTGAGAGAAGCAGTTCCAGCCAGGCAATCTCACTTCTTTTCAGCGTCTACTTTGCTTTGGAGCCTGGTGGGATCTCCGCTTTTCTTGTAAGCTCTGCAGGGAGTTGTGTGGGAGTGCTGTAGCAATGGCATCCCTTTGGATCTCTGATGTCTTGCATCTTGATTTTAGGCTTGCAGTTCCAGGAATAACATCCTGGGCTGCTGGACTTGCTTTCATTTCTTGGGGGCATGAAATTCCTGAGCCCCATGTCAAACGCAGGTTTGGATTTGTCCTGTTGCTTCAGAAGCCCATGCTGGGAAAGTGAAATGTAGGATCTAGCCTTTTGCTGGTGTTGGGCGAGAGCTGTGTTAACTCTTCTTTCATGCTGACCCTCCTTGGGCACAGATGTGTGTGAGTCATAGGCTGGACTTCTCATGTCTTGGTGGAAGCTAAGAGAGAGGGTGGGGTGATATTTGGTCTGGAAAATCTTAAAACAAATGATTTGTTCCAAGTATGTCTGGGAAAGGAGGAAAAGCCAAGAGATGATTTTATTTTTGAAACTCTAGCTCTTAAAACTGTTTGTTTTGCATTGAAAATTGAATGGAGGATTCGCTTGAAGATATTCCCCCGGTGATCTTGCCTGGCCAAATTAATGAAGAAGCAATAAAAGTAATGCTGGTGTCATAGGATGCTTCTCAGCAGAGATGCTGCTGGCAGGAAAATCATATTCATTACCTGTTATTTCCTCCCAAACCTCTTGGCGATCCCTGCCCCGGGCTTGTGCTGTATGAATTGGTACAGACTGGAAGGACGGGCACCATCACGGGGGTGTGGGGCTTAGTGCGTGAGTAACAAGGGCAGGGGAGAGGAGTATTGACAAAGCAGGAGGTGGAGATTATATATATATATATATGGCCTGTCTTGCTCATTTGTGCAGTTTTCCTGTTCTGGTACAGATACATTCAAATTAAAATTCCACATAGAAATGTCCCCACACCACAGGCGTAGCAATACTGCTTATGTGACTACAACGAGTTCAGTTCCCTCTCGGTAAACAGTTTCAGTAAGGAGCAGTTTTATGAGCTCTGATTTTTAGACCTGGCCTGAGTCCTTAGTTAATTCTTCTTTCTAGGCAGCTTGAGAACAAGCCCAGACTGTGGCAGGAGAATTGCCCATAGGCCTGGAAGCACCTGCTGGGATGTTGCCTCCCCGTTACAGGCCTTCTGTAAACGCTTCGCTTGTGCTGTTCAAAGCATCAGTTCTTTTCCCCGCCAGACACCGGTGTGCTGAGCTTTCCTGACTACCACAGAAGGGCAGGGGCAGTGTCTTATTTCTGGGGTGATCTGCCTGGCCTGGGATGTGGCTCAGTTTGTCCTGTGTAGCCAGTGCTCAGCAGATCTCCCAGCTGTAGGTGCAGGTGGGAACCAGGTGGTTTTCTTGCTGCTTGCCCATCCCTGCACGGCATTGTGAGGGGAGGGAAGCGTTCTCGATGCCCAGACATCACGTGGGGAGAGTTACAGGCCAATGCCTCGTGGAGTGCCATTGGAGAGAGCGCGTGGATGCCAAGAGCAGTAAATAATTTACATTGGTAAAAACACAAAACTGGGTGGTCTTGGGATTTTCTTTCTTTCCTCCTTGATTTGCATCTGTTCATATTTAGAGGCCGTTCGTGGCTGTTTATACTCAGCTAGTCCTGGCATGTTTCTTGCTTTGTCCTTGGCTGCAGCAATACACATAATGACTGTCTTTGAGGCTCTGCAGCCAGTGCTGCCGCTTCTGCGCGGAATGCTTTGCGTTCTCTTTGGAGCAGCGCACCTGTGTAGTGTCAGCAGCACGACTTGCTTATCTCCTGACGGGAGATGTTGGGTAGGGAGGATGTCTGCGCCTGTATGCGTGGTGCTGCTGGAAGGAAGGGTCAGGAGGGAACCAGAGTGGTTTTGCTAGTAGATTACTATGGGGCATGAGAAGGTTAAAGCTTGTGACCACCTCGGAGTGTGTGTCACGTGTCAGATCTCTGCAGTGTCCGCCAAGATCTCGGTGTCCTGGACAGAGCACTGCTCAGCCTGGGAATGCTGATGGTGCTCCAGTACGGGGAGATGCTTTAGTTTTGTTCTTGTATCTTACTATCCTCTATTTTTAATTGGCAACTAATTAAATCAGTCTTCCCCAAGTCTGTTTTGCCTGTGATGGTAACTGGTGAGTGATCTCCCTGTACTTAATCTCAACCCTTGAGCTTTTTCATCTTATTTTTTCCCCCCGTCTTGCTGAGGTGTAGTGAGAGAGTGGCTTGGTGGGCACCTGGCAGCCAGACAAGGTTAACCCACCACCTCCTCACAAAAAGCTGCTGCTTGAGGCAGTGCCAGCTCCTCTGCACTGTGATGGTTTGAGATGACTGTTCCTGCCTCCTGGAAGAAGTCAGGAGACTTGGAGAGGCGCTCGCTACTTCTGGATCTTACCTGAACTGTGCAGCGAAGCAGAGAGAAGGTGGCCAAGAAAGAAAAGAAGAGATGGTGGGTGGGGTGTCAAGAAGGGAAGCTGCCCAAAAAAACTCCCACTGGAAATCCAAGCTTGCCACAAAGAGGAGGAGGAAAAAAAGGCAAACTGGAAAAAGCTGGTTTAATCCAAAGGGCTTTGTACAGTCTGCTTGCGGAGAGGAGGTGACTTCAGGAAGTCCTGTGTCAGCCTCACACTCCCTGGTTGAGAACAGTCCCTCGGGGGGGCTGTGGGCCCAGGCTGCCTCCACTGAAAGGGCTTTGGCCGTTTCAGGAGAGAAGAGCAAAGCCCAGTGCTGGACTGGGGAATGCTGCTCCTGGTGACTCCGTCCTCAGGAAGACAGACACAGTTACCACTGAGGGTTCCAGGACCTCTCTAGGTTAAGTTGGCTGCTCAGGACGCACTGTTAAATCAGAGCACACGAGCCAGGGTTCCTCATGCCCAACAGCTGTAGTGAAGCCAGACCCCAGCGCTATGATGTTTTGGGGCATCATCAGGTTTTGGGCCAGTGCCCAGGCCTTGTGTTCCTGGTGGTGGAATGAAATGTGGTCCCTGTCCATTCTTTGTGGGCCACTCTTGCAAACTGCAGCGTGGCCAGTGGCTTTTCTCTGTAACCCTGGGATGATGTGTACTTCCTGCTGTAGTCACTGTGTCATCCGGGAGCCTCTGCCCATCTGGTCCCCGTTAGCCAAAATACTGTGTCATCCCCCTGCCCGTCTGAAATACGGAGTTATTTGTAGTCATGCCCGTCGGAGATGGATGGGAGGGAGCTGAGCAGATACTGCTGTTTGGTACCAGCAGAGGGTGGGGGGAGAACATCTTTTAAAAGAAGATGGGGAGGGCTGGAGGTGAGATGGGCGGAGGGTGATGGGCTTGGGACCATTTTTTTTTGGTGAGAGACAAACAGGGAGGGTAAAATTTAAAAGACTTGTAAGAACTAAGTCTCTCTTTATGCCGTATGCTTGGACCACTCACCCGTGTTCATCCGCGCGTGGCTGGCTGTGATGTACCTTCTGCCAGTGTTGCTGTCTCAGTGGTGTAGTGTTGAGGTGACGGTGCCCTCCTCTGGCAAAATGAGAAACTGGAGACTCCGGAGAGTTCAAAATCGGGACTATGAAGGCAACTGCTACTATAAACGCTCCTCTTACGGAAGCATGTTGGTGCGTAGGTCTCTGTGATATCCCTGGCTCAGGCTGTGAACCTGCCGTGCAGGAATTCTGCTCTTGTAGGGGAGTGCTACAGCTACAGGTAAAAGTTGTTGTCCGTTATGGCAGGCAGACATCAAGTCATGGACACCACTAAGCCCTGGAGTGTGGCTGAGTCCCTCACACTGAAGCTCCCAGAGAGGATTTGTAGATTTTTCTGACTCTTCAATGTTTCCACGTTGCAAAACTCTTTTATATTCTTTTCCCTCTCTTTTCTTTCAGATCCTGTTTGACCAGGCTCAGAGGTCAGTTCGGCAGCAGCTGCACAATTTTGTGAAAGAGTGAGTACTTCTCGTACCGGTTTGGTCTTCAGCTTCTTGAACTTCCATCGCACCTGCCTTGGGTGCCCTGGAAACAGAACTGCAGCCTCTGCACACCTACTGAAACTTGGACCGGAGGAGACACTGAAGGGCAGAGGGAAGGGTCTGGTTTGTGTGACGGCTGTCGCTGTCGTCATGCTACGCTATCATTTGGTTGCTCTGTTGTCAACCGGATGTCTTCATCCTGTTCCCAGATTGTAGTTAAAGCTGGACATGAGGCGTATGTCCAGATCAGAGCATCATTCTGAACTCTGGTTCATCTGCAGAGCTGATCCTCTAGGTCAAACACATCCCCGAGTTCAGAACCTTGTAGAGCGGGGCCATCCTATGTTCTCTTATGTTCGATGCAGAGTTTCCTTAGTGGCTTAAACCAGTGTATGCTGGCAGAAGGAAAAAACTTTGCAGCCAAGTGACTTTGGGGTCCAGCAGAATCACTGTGTTCTCAGCTCCCCACGCATCATGCTTAGTCACTCAAAATTACAGCAGCCCTGCTCTTCTGGAATAACCTGAGCATCTGTCTGGGAGATGAGAGACAGGAGGGCCTTTCTTTGTGTGGAGGGAGCAGCACATCACTCTGCCTTCAGCCTGGACCTTGACCACTGCTAATGGAAAGCAAGTTTGTGATGCCTTGCTGTGAGCAATGCAGAATATGGCATGTTGAGGGTGTTAACTTGCACGTGGCAGGCCTGAGGTGCAGAAGAGCTGGGCCCAGGGAGTTCACTGGGTGTGGAGGGGCCGCACCTTTGATGAGGGCTTTCAGCAGGCCGGCCCTGCCGTTGCTGCGTGAGCATGTTTCCTCTGAGCTCCTCTTTTCCCCAGGGCAGGTACCCAGCACAGCCTGGGCTCCCCAGTCAGCTGAATATAGGTCGGAGAGGCAACTGGGGCCTTGAGCTAAGCAGGAACTGGTTGCCATGGGAACTGGTAATTGGCTGTGAATCCCTCAGCAGCTGTGTGGTGTGATGGAGGGAGGGGGTCCCTAGCTGACCCCCCTATTCCTCATGCTCATCTTCTTGCCTTGCACTCCCCCTTACCCCCACTTTCTCTGTAATCATTTCTCTGATGAGCTCAGATTTAATCTGCTTAAGGCTGGCAGTCAGAAGGGGGAATTTCACCCTCAGTTTGGGTCTGTCCTCCCTTCAGCATCTTTGCAGCTTACTCTTCTTTGCACTTGTACTGCTCAAGCTCTGCACTTGCAGGCCCCGGGGCTGTGATATTTGTGTTGCTCCCGCCCTTGGTTGGAAGAGAAATTTTATGCTTGGGACCATTTTGAATAATCCACCTAGGGCCAATCTGCACCTTCCTGGCTGATGATGGGAACAAAGAAACAGTGGTGGTTCGTACACAGTATCTATCCTCTAACCTGCTCTCCCTGTCCTCAAGCCCTGAAGGTTGTTGCCGGGTTTATTTACAAGGTACACACAAAAGAGCTCAGCTTGCCCAGCCCATGCTGTCAGTAGCCAAATGCTCTGTGACCGCCTTGGCATGTTACCACGCCACAGACCTTGCTGAGGAGGAGGGTTTCACTAGCTAACTCTTGGGGCTGCAGTCATGCTGCTGCAGCCTGACTTAGAGCTAGCTGAGACTTTCCAGCAGTATCACATGCCCTCGAGCTCCTGCTCCTTTCCACTGGGACAGAAGCTGTTCTCTCCAAAGCTGGATCAAAAGCTGTTTGAAATCCCCACAGCCCTTTGCTGCGAGTGACCCCAAAATGCAAAAAGTGACCCTGGTATTTCTCTGTGAATGGAGTTATCTGGCCATGTAACTCAGCAGCCCTGAGCACTGAGGGCAATGTGAAGAAGCAACCACCACCAGAGCAGTAATCCAGTCACCTCTGTGTTCATTTATCCTTGCTGTACCTGCCCATGGTAGATTTTTCTTGGCCAGAGGTTGATCCATGCATAAATATCTGCAACTTCAGTTTGCTGCAGAGCAGAGTTCAGCATTTACTGTCTGGCTGTCATGTTCAGCTGAGGCTCTTCGTCTACCCTAAGGCAAAGAAGAAGTGGATGCTACTTATTTACTAACAGTTTTTATCTACTTTAAGTTATAACAATTTATATTTGAGGTGAACAGCTCCCCCAGACAGAAATTAAGTGTTTGTGTTACAGCTGCTGTAAATGAGCATTGCTGCTTTCAACTCCTGAGGAACCAGGGACACTTTTAAGAGCTGATCTGCAGGAATTGCTTTTGTCTTTGTGGTCACACCACTGAAATAAAATTCTGCCTGAGCAGTACCCACTATTTGATTAAAAAAAAACAACCAACAAACTCAAAAATCTGCCTGTCGCTATGTTGTTATAGCATCCCTGCCCCTGCAAAGCAGGCCACTGATCCCATGTGAGGTCTCTAAGGCATAAATAAAACTTTGAAAGTTCATGTTGTGGATCATATATTTCCAAATGCAAATTTTCCTAAGTGTGCCTAATATACAAGGGGAAAAGAATAGTCAAACGCATAGACTTTACAATCAGACGAAACAGAGTCAGCTAGAGATGCACGTGGACGGCAGTTGTGGACTGGCTTTAGGGCATTAGCAATGTTCTGTCTGCTTTGTAACCACCTCATCTTCTTTGCGTTCCAGTGATGTCCGGAAGTTCAAGGAAACCAAGAAGCAGTTTGACAAGGTGCGAGAGGACATGGAGATCTCGCTGGTGAAGAACGCCCAGGCACCTCGGCACAAACCCCATGAGGTGGAGGAGGCAACAGGCACCTTGACCATAACCAGAAAGTGTTTCCGCCATCTGGCCCTAGACTATGTGTTGCAGGTTGGTGTCTGCGCCCCCAGCTCTGGCTGGATTTCCCAGTACAGAACAAGACATCGCGGGCAAACTGCTCAATAATCTACTGAAGGGAATGAAGACGTTGAGGGATGAGAGAGGGCAAATAGGGTCTTACAGCTGAGTTCAAAAGGCTGCTGGATCACGAATCCATTGTACGTTTTTGCCCTCTGCTCCCTGAGGCAGGAGTCCTTACGAGTGGTGTGATGGCACATGAAACCCCTGAGGTTTGCTCTGGTCCAGGCACTGGTGTACCACTGTGAACCCGTGTCTGGCTTAGCAAAGCCCGGTACTGCAGGGGGTGCCAGGGTTCTTTGAGCTGCCTTTTGGCATAATCCAGCCGGTCTGTCTGAAATAGCAGGCTGTGCTGGGATGAGAGCACCTTCCTTGGTGGGGCTGAGTTCTGTAGCTGATCACATCTGCTTGAAATGGTCACAGGATGTCGGTTTAAGTGGTGTAAGAGAGGGGAGGCTCTTTCCCCAGTCCTTAGCTGGTTTGATCTTTATAACTCTCCAGAGAGTCTGGTGAAACAGTGTCATGAAACTGCTGAAAGTGAGGGACCAGACACAACACTGTCCATTGTTCTCTGCAAATCATGAACCGCTCCTACATGTAGGACGTGTCCTTAGGGTAAATGTCTGGATCCGTGTGCACGTGCGATTGTGCTGTGTGTGTGTGTGTGTGTGCAAATGTGCATCTGGGTGGATGGATGTGTGTACACTCATGCATGTGCATGGTGCATACCTACGTATGTTGCAACAGTGGAAATTCCAGTTGAATATAAGGCAAGAAATTTTTCAGTTATTCAGCACTGGAACAGGGACCCAAAGAGGTTCACAGTCAACGGGACCGGGCTCTGAGCAGCTGCATCTAATTTTGAAGTCAGTCTTCCTTTGGCCAGGCAACTGGACAGATAACTGCAGGTCCCCTCCAACCTGTATTATGCTCTGAGTCTGTGTGGGAGTGTGTACTTACCTGTGCTTCTGCCTTTGCATGGCATTGACATGACTCTTCACGTCTGTGATGTGTTCTCCTTCCTTAAAATGTTGCTGAGGAGGGAAATCTTTTTTTTTTTTTTTTTTTTTTTTTTTTTTTTTTTTTCAGTAAGAGAAATTAAATACACTGAATTTCCCTTCCCAGTGGGACATTTCCTGCACAAACACTCACTGCACCGAGAAGGGTCATGGATTTTTCTTTGAATCATTCATAGGCTTCACGTCAGGTCTGCCCTTTCAGGCAGTGGGTATAGCAAGCAGACAAATTCAGTGTTAATATTGATTTGTGTGTGTCTCCACTAGCTGTCACCCCTGCAGCACTGAACTAAGACCATCTGCCGACACGGTCTGTCTGCTCCTGAAGTAGTCTGTGATGTCACACGCTCCGCCAGCTGTGGATGGAAAGGCAATGCTTTCCCCTTAAAGTATAAATCATGCATGTCGTTGATCCTCCTTTAGGATTGCGGGTTTTTGCACCTAGGATTTAGACATGAATGCAGCTGTATTTGCTGGCAAGGTCACGCTGTAGTAAGCTCCCTCCGTTTCTCCTACGGACGAAGAGTTCCTTTAAGGTGCTGATCCAGTATTGGGGGAGGTTTCCCCGTTGGTCCACTGCAAGGTACCAGTCCAAATCCATCAGCTATGAAATGCACAGTTGTGAACTTGTCCAGGCATCCTTTGGCATTTAATTATTTAGTGAAGAGAGTTACCATTTTATTGTTTTATATCTGAAAGGAGATCTTTTCCTGACCCTGAATGTCCACACCACTGAACTACTCTGTCTCCCCTCCCGTGTTGCTGGAGCTGCTGACCAGTTTGCCCAGTACAGAAGTGGGAGGCTGGTCGTGTCACTCCTCTGTTCCAAGCCAAACTGGGACAGGCACCAGCAAGCTGCTCCTTGGTAACTTCTAGTTTTATGCTCAGCTACTGCAGGCGTAGTGCTTCTAAACAAAGCGATGCTGCATTTATGACGGAGTTATTAACACACGAACCAATTTTGTGTTCTGGCAACACATTATTTGTGACACTGACAGCTGAAGCCCGGCGAAACCTTCTGCTACGTTTGACAGTTTCTTCAGTGCTAATTGCAGCACCTGTAAGACTTCCCAGTGTAGCCCATGGACTCTGTGGACAAGCTCTTATGTAACTATGTGCTCTCCATTTTTGATTTCTGAAATTATATTCTCCTGTGTCCGTTTTTAGCCTCTCAGGTCTATTTTTTAAAATATTTTTAAATCTCAAGGCTATTTTTCACTTCCAGATCCATGGCTGAGTGTCAGAGAAACATAATAGGTCTCAGAGTTTGCCTTTGTCCCCAGTTAAGAGATTTGCAATAGTTTCATCTTCATGTCCAAGAGATGCTGATGGTTGTAGTCTCACTGGTAGGATGACAAACATCAGAAACAGCTACTACCTTTTTTGTTGCTCCTACATACCTCATAGTTCTGGGTTATTCCAGTCTTCCTGTTCTTTCTTTCAGGGTAAAGATTACTGTTCACACCAAAACAAAGCTGTGCAATTGCACGGGGTAGGGGTTAGCAGGCGTTCTCCCAGTGGCAGAAAGAATCAGGACATAGCACCTTGGTGTATTATACTTAGGGTTTTATGGTAGGGATTTTAAGTGGGACTTTCCTGGTCAAAGATGTAGGCAGTGAACTATGAGGTGTCAAAGATGAGCTGCTGCAACCACTCTGCTAAGCACCTGCTGGAGGACTCGAGGAATGGCCAGGCTCTCAAATCCTCACAGTAAATGCTCCAGACTGGTCCTTCTGCAGTGGCAGGGTGCATTTCCAAAGCAGTGCTGTCTTGCTGTTGCAAGAGGTACTGTGCTTCTCCCTGTCCAGGGAGGAGGTGTAAGCCTGGATGTGCTGGAAGGCCTTTTCTTCCACCCCAGGAGCCCAAGCACATCAGGGCTGGCACAGGAAAACCTGATCTACCACTGCTTTTGTGTGGAAGGGATGTGATGGTCTCTGGGGCAGTCAGCCATGCACTTTTCTCCAAGAAAAGCGGGTGTGCAAAGGATGCGTACACTGAGAACATAGGCCCCCCACAGGTACCACAATTTCCTGGCTGGCTTCACTATGATTACTGGAAAAAATAGTAAGACTCCACTGGTACCTCTCAGCCTGCTAAGAGGAATCAAAGCATTGACCCGACAGACTAAACATCTCCTTTGTGTGATACCAAATCGCACTCTGGGGTCACTGTTTGTTGTCAGCCTACGTACAGGTGTACATCGAGCGGTGACCTTAATCAGTAGCAGCCCAGGTCAGAAAATGCATCTGTGCTGTTTTCCTTTTTATTCCACCTGAAACTGCCTTTTCAGAATCCAGTGTTCTGGTACCATCCTTGAATAGTTTGTGGTTTGCTGCTAGCAGTCTTGCAGCGGGTTGTTCACACTTGGGTCTCCGTGCTGGACTGCTTCATGCTGCTGATGCTGAGTCTTCTCTTGGTTCCTTCACAGATCAACGTCCTGCAGGCCAAGAAGAAGTTTGAAATACTGGATGCGGTAAGGGCTCTCTCTGTTTTCTGTGGCTGCTCTCAGTGACTCAGTGAAAGGCAGCCCTCTCCATTTCAGGTTGCGTGGGTCGACATACCGACTCCTCACTCTGCCCTGGGGATACTGTCTGGGACTTCTCTGGGGGCTGCAGGTATGCCAACAAGAGGGGAGAATGAAGGGCCAGCAAGATACTCCAAGATATTCCACAGGCTAGAGCTGGAGGGGACTTTCAGGGGTGAAGGACACTTTTTACTGCGTTGTGCTCACAACAGGGGTTACCTGACGGTGTGGAAGGATTTGTGAGAGGAAGAAAGGAGAAGAGGGAAAGGCATCTGATGGATAGGTTGCTTTGGGAAGGGAAAGGCTTAGCCCCCAAAGAGACTTGTTTGTGTGTAATATGGGAAAAGGACTTTTCACACTGTCCCGGAACCTGTTCTGACCTTGCTGTTGTTTCCCTCCCCAGATGCTGTCCTTCATGCATGCCCAGTACACCTTTTTCCAGCAGGGTTACAGTCTTCTCCATGAACTGGATCCCTACATGAAGAAACTAGCCACAGAGGTGAGAGGGCAGGGAACAGGGTTGACTCGACCTGCCTGTTTGCACCCCTTCACCCTGAAGGGACATCCTCTTTCCTGCCATACTCGGTCACCGGGGAGTGGTCAGAGCATTGTGCTTGTTGGATGTCGGAGGAGCAATGCTGCACTCCGTGGTGACAGCCGAGAGCTGTGGTTACTTTTGGTGCACACCCAAACACAGCCCTTCTCCCCTCTTAGGGGGGGCTTACGGTGTGAGGTGGGGCTGGTGTAATTCCAGAGCAGGGAAGCAGAGATGGGCAGTGGCTCATAAACCTCCTCGCTGACTTTTATACCTGGTGTTCTCCTCCCTGCCTTTAGCTGGACCAGCTGGTGATTGATTCTGCAGTGGAGAAGAGGGAGATGGAGCACAAGCATGCACTGATACAGCAAAGGGTGAGTCCTGGGGTGCAGCTTGGTGCAAGCAGCACTTCTCTCCATCAGTGTGTCTGGATCACCCTGGCAGTTGGCATCTGCTGAGGGGCCTTGCTGGGTCAGTCCTTCAGAGCCTGGAGCAGTAGGAGCAGAAGTTGCTGAGATGAGAGTAATAAGCTTGTGGATGCTGGGAGATCTGGCTAGTAGGTAGGGCTGAGCAAATGCAGAGTATTCAGCTACTGACACAGCCGAGTACACGAGGGAGAGGGACGCAAACAGGACCCCATGTGTCGGGGCACCCTGACGTTGAAAACAACCCAGCTCTGCCACTGCCCTACCTCAGAGCAAGCCTTCCGTCTACGCTTTGTCTCCCTCTTCGCTCCTGAGGACGTGGAAAGATTTAAAGGTTCGTGTTCTGTAAATGGCTCTGAGATAGAGGAGTCGATGTAGTTGTTTGCAATTGCCTGTGAAAACAACTTGACGGTGTAGCAGAACTGCTTTTGGGGAGAGATTAGAGCACTTCTCTCCCATCCTTTCTTTTCTCTCCCCCAGTCTCACATCCTTCCTCTGGCTGAGCAAGCTGGCTTTTATCCGGCAAGCCCTGTGATCTCCAGCTACTGCAGTATTAGTGTGTCCCTCCTGACACTTCTCCTGCCTCTCACTGCCTTGCCCCATGGTGAGGCAGCACCATGGCAGCATGTCTGAGTGCCCAACCCAGCCAGATGGCCAGAGTCCCTGCTAAGTCATCCAGCAGACGAATGAGTGGATGCACTCCTTTGGTACCCATAGGCAGGACTTGCTGCAGAGCTTTTTCTGCCTTCATAGGGAGCTCACACTGCTCTGAAGTGATGGGTCGTGGGGGAGAGTGAGTGGGACTCTCTACTGCTACGGGGAGAGGAGTGTGCTGCAGTGAATATCTTTCATGCAAGTCTGGTCCAAACTTTAGTCCAGACGATTCTTGCGTAGCTCCTGTGACATGGCATGGCTACAGCCTTGAGCAGCATAACTTTGGGAAGGTCTGTGGGGACCCCGGCAGTAGAGCTGCCATGACTGAGCGACCTGTTGTTTACAGCCGAGCTGTGGTAACCCGCTATGCGTAACCACCGTGGGCTGGCAAGATAATGGGGTTTATTATCGAGCAAGTCAGAGCCTTCGGTAAGGAGGCGTCTCTAGTTAGAGTGGGCTCTGATTTTTCCAGACCATTCGTCTTGGAGTGATTCCAAATCCAAGGGTTGCAGAAAGTCAAATTAATTTTTTTTTTTTTCCTTTTCCTTCTCTTCTTCATGGATTGCTGACCTGCCCCTGCAGACCCTCCTGCAGGTGAGTACCCACATGTATTTCCTTTGTCTGACATCTTTGCTTCTCAGAATTAGCACTTTGCTGCTCCGGATATTTACTAAGTTCTGCCTTTGAAAGGAAAACAGAGAAACCTTGCCGTAGCCTTAGTGCTGTAACCTGAACCCTGGAGATGTAATTTTAAAGCCCAATTTCAAGTGAGTTTGGTTTCATCCTCATCAAAGTTGTTTTCGGTCCTGTGCTAAAATCAGATTTCAGTTCCCCCCCACTCTGGATAACGGTCAGTCTTGGCTCGGAGTTCAGTATTGCAGTGGCAGCAGCACTTAGCTGGTGCTTAATGGATGTTGGGTGCCCCCTGGGAGCTTTTGAGGAGCATGGATCTGGGGGGGAGGTGAACTGGCTTTACAGGCTCATAACAGAGGGTCTTGGTGGAATTTAAACATCTACGCGTGCACGCGCTCGCGCTCTGTGGGCACAGTAAGAGGGGGGATTTCAGAGAGCCCTGAGAAATAACTGTTCATGACCCAAGCCCTGAGTAGGAATCACTAAGGAGTCCGTATCTGGCAGGCACTTGTGTGGATCAATATTTCTCAACGGGAGGAGTCTAAGTGGCTGTTTTCTCCCTAATGCTCTCTCTCAAAAATGTCATAAGCCATAAAATGGAAACATAACCAGATTTGAAAGCTAATGATAGACATTCCCCGTGAGTATGTGCATATGCTCCCTTCGGTTAAGTGTTCTGAGGGAGGGGTAAATCCATTTGTGAACTCTCAGTCCCCCTGGGACTCTGCTGGAGCGATGACTTCATTCAAGGGAACATGGAAAATCTCTCCAGCGCAGTGCATTTCAGTTAAATCTCTTTACGTGGCTTTGCTGACTTGGACTAGCAGGGAATGAAGCAGAGGTCAGGTTCCAAGAGGAAACACGAGCAATTACTCTTCATCAGGATACATATGCATAGAGTGGTGCTCTCTGTGTGCATGAGCTCGTAAGAGAGCTGAACATCCCTACTGCAATTTAGGATTTAAAGCTTCTGCTTTTCAGCTGCTCCGAGTCAATGTCGCTCCCCCCTTTGCAATGGAGCATCGCACTCTGCATCTGGTGAGCATCTCCAAAGGGAGCACAGCACGTATTTTAATATATGTCTTTATGCTGAGCCCAGAATACCCTCTGGTCTCTTGAAAAATGTGCTTAATTAGAGAGAGTGGTGGCAGAAGTATCCTTTTTTTTCCCTCAACACCGTGTCTTCCCAAACAGCTTGCTAAGGCATGGCAGAAAGAGAGGGAATCCAGTTTAAATAATGCATTTTGAAGTGTTCTGTGCAGATTCCGGAGGCAGGGAATTGAATTGTCTTTGGGCAGCTTTGTGAGGTATGGAGGGAAGCCTTCTGAGAGCTGAGTTTGTAAGGAAGTGGTCTGTGGCATTTTGTTTTGTTATCGTTTTAATTAAAATAAATTTGGTAGGAGAGAAGAACTCAGCACAAATCTTGACTGATACTGTAATTTAGGTGCCTTTTTCTTCTGCCGCCCTTTTCCCATCTTCCCTTTGGGGCAGATTCCTAGGACAGCGATCATTTCAAGCTGTCATTTTAACTGCTGCCCTCTCTGCCTTCCCAGCTCCAAAACCTTGAAGATCTCCATTGCAGCTTCACCCTTCATACGAAAATAATGCTCACTTATCCAAAAAGGGTTCCAGTAAAATCAGCAAGAGGAAAAGGAAGAGGCTCAATAAATATTTGAGTTATCCTTTTGTTGTGTTCTGCAAAGAGAGAGGAGAAAGCTCCCAGCATGAAGGCTGGGGCTGCCTTTCTTGAGTGTGTGTGGGATGCACGCGTGCAAGGACTGCAGTAGGGAATACATTTCTGCAGAGGCTGAGGAAATAGTCTTGTAGCTTCCCACATTTCTCTTGTGTGTTGAACTAAACTGTCTTAAACCACACACATGATGAGGTTGTATGTTTTTTTTTTTATGTGGGCTCATTTGCTTCGGATGGATGCACAAAGATGTACAGGGCCTGGTGTAGGTTGGAGCACTTAGGAGAAAAAATCTGGAGAACTTACTGCTGGAACACGCAGGCCTAGGAATTCTTTCTAATGGGTAATGGTAATAACGTTTAAACCAACACTCCCTTGCAGATCCTGGCCTTCCTGAATCCTTCCACTGCACGGACGCAGGCCAGTGTCTGAAAGTGGAAGAAATCAGAGCTATAGAAAAGCTCCTTTGCAGCCCCATACCTATTCCGGAGTAGTGGGGGAAGCAATTGTGCTCCTCTTGCCCGTTGGCATGGGAAGGCAGGATGGGGTGCCAAGGCAGAGCTCTCTGCCTCCTTTAGTCCAGCTGGTAGATAACAAACCAGGGGCCATATGGCACTGCCAACACCCTGGTTTCTGTGGCTGCAGTGGAGCAGGGGTGGAATCACTGGCCGAAGCGTGGCTCTGCTCCAGGAGGCTGGGGAAGCAGATCCTGCGAAGGGCACGACAAGCCTGCCTCTGTTAAGGTCAGGCAGGCATTTGGTGAGCATCTTCCTATCAACTTTGCTCTGTGCTGCCTGGCTTCTCCCACTCCCTTCTGTGCCTCCCCGACAGCTGTATGATAATTAGCCCTTGCTCTAAGCTGATTGACTGTGAATAGGAGGCAGGAGGAGGGGGCAAGCAGGTGGTCCCCAGAGGCCAGCAGGCTTCCCGCGGCTAGTGCCCCTTGCCTTGACAGGAGCCAACGGCAGAGCTTAAAGCTTCCCAAAAAGGAGTAGGAGGGGTAAAAGAGAAGGGGCTGAAAAAGAAATCCCTCCTTCCCTGCCAGCCCACGGTGCTTAGCAGAGATGCTACTCTAGAGAGCGAGCAGAGAGAGAGAGGACACACAGAGCTGCTCTCTAGGCAAGAGCAGCCAAACCTCCCTTGCAGCTGGCATCATGAAGATTTTCAGCAGGCTTGAATACCTCCTGGTAAGGAGACTCCTGCAGGGTTGGTGTGACTGGGGGAGAAAGTTTAGAGGGCACTTTTCCCTGGGGGAGCAAGGACTGTGCCTCTTAGGACCTTGTTTGCTGATGTGACCCAAAAGCAAGTGCAGCTTTATCGCTGCAGGAGAGCAAAGGTCTTCGGTTCTGTTTCTGGGATGGAAAAGCTCTGGGGCAGGGCACTGCTCTCTGTGCATCACCTGCTGGCAAACTGCAGAGCGGGGAGATCATTTGGCATTAGGAAATTCAAGAAACAAAAGGTCTGCAAATGGGATTTGGCTGGGATGAACGAAATCTGTCTGCGCAGAACGGGAATGTAGGTGGGGGAGTCCTCCTCCAAATTCCATCTGCTTCTGAGCATCTTGGATTGTGCACAGTATACATGCAGAGGTAAAAATAGCCAGATAGAGAAAAGATTGAGATAATATTCAGGCATCAGAGAGAACAGAACGTGCATGCACCAGTGTTTGTGTGGAAGGGGGGTGTGTGCATCTTTAGGGAACGTGAATATTCCTCTGAATTATCTTCTCTTTAAAACTGAATAGCCCAACGAGTCACAGCTTTTCATTCACCTCCTGGAGGAGTTCTTTTCAATGCATGGATGTATTTATAATGTTGTTAGAGCGCACGTAATATTGGTGTTATATACTGGGCATCAGCGGTTACTTAAGAGGGCACTTTTGGATAAAGCCTTTGTCTTCTGTGAGGGGGAAGCATGTATTGCATGTGTTGTTGCTGACCCAGAATGGTACCGATTGAAAATAGAATAACACGGGAGGGTTGGTAGTAAGCTATATTTCTCCGAATATCTAAAACCGCTTGGACTGAAATGATTTACTGGTGATGATTGCCTAGTTTTGATGGTGTTTTCTCTCAGTGGAAATCAAACCAGCGTACAGAAAGGACATTATTTTCGCATTGAAATGATACACTGTCATCTGTGTAATGAGTAATAATGAGTAATGCTGTGGCTTTTCGGGGAGGGCTCGGAATTTTGGAGAAAGGTTCTATCTCTTCTCAGCCAGGTGTTGTGCTCTTTGGGATAGGAATGAACCTAGAAACAAGACTTGCCTGCTTCAGTGAGTCTGCTCTTAGGCAGGGCTCCTTACACCCCCTCCCACAAGTATTCCGGGCTGATGAGAGGCGTCTTCACTCTTCGGGTTAAGTCTGTGTACTGAAGCTGGGGGTTTATTTCATTTCATCAGGCATTTTCTCTGCACGAAAAGCTGGCTTCGCAGGAGCCATTCGGAGAGCTTGTCGGGCCTCTGCAGTGCAAGCAGCCTGTGTGCTGTGTGGAGATGGACAAGGGAGTTCTTAACTGGGTGGGCCACGGGGCAACCTTAAAATAGGGATTTTTCTTTTTTTTTCTTCTTTTTTTTTCCTTTCATAGGTTGGTCTGTGTCTGTGCTGGGTTTTTGCTTTCCATTTGATGGTTTGAAAGTGTCCTCATTAATGTCCTCTTTTTCTTTTTCTTTTTTTTTTTTATTTACATCCCTATGGATGTGTCTCACGGAATGTGTTACTTCATTGTTGCTTCAGCAGCATTCAGTGTGCTCCCATGGAAACCATTGTGATGTCATTTCTAAAAGAATATCAGTTCCCAGGCAGCCTAGTGTGTAAACTCGGAGTGACAGGACCGAGAAGGGGAGGGGACAGTCGGACAAGATCGGTGTGATTTACTGAAAGTCGGGGAAGGGAAGCAGATGATGGCAGAGATCTGGTTTCTTATTCTGGAAGACGTCCGATTTATTTTACCCCCGTGTGATCTGGCGTGTCCCTGCTGATCATGCCTGCATACACAGTTGGAGCCAAGGCCATTCGGGTCCAGGCCTGGGAAGTTTTTTCCATGTCAAACCCTTTTTCACAGACAATGAGGTGCTAAATGCCGACTTAATAAATCAGTCCAAACTCATCTAAAGCAGACTTGCCTACTCTGGGTATCTCGTAATGATGGGAAGAATTCCGTAAAAGGCGGTTTATTAAAATCACGCATGAAAATCTCATGTATAGCAGGAAATGGAAAAAGAGGGGACAAGAGAAAGCAGACGTGTGCACTCTCTAACCCTGCTTTGTCAAGGGTAAGATTTGAATCAAGACAGTTACTTTGAATGTTGTAGAACGGGCGACACATTCCTTTTCCACCAGCACCTCCCAGACATCGCAGCCTGGTTTGTGAGGCTGGAAGGTTTTTATTTCCTAATTCTGTGTGGAGACAGACAGTCCAGAGATGTGCTGCATCCCTTGTAAGAGTCACGGAGAGACTCGCTGGTGGCACAGCTGATGATGTGCTTGGCACGAGCCACATCCATCAGCCAAGACCCTTCGACTTATTTCGTAGAATTAACAGGATCAAAATTTTTTTATGTTGGTGACTAGAACAGATACAGGGACACATTAAGGGCAGAGCTGGCAGTTAAGGGGATTCGCTGTCACACATCTGTGTGTATCCAGCTGTGGTCACACACTACCGTGACCTTTCAACATCATTAGCAAGATGATCTCCTCAGACAGTTTCTAAGCAGCTTTGACCTGGAATCAGGTTTCAAAAGATGTTCTTGTAACTTTTTTTTTTCCAGAGACTTGTGCTTTCTTTTCAATGGCCGTGGTAAGAAAGATCCCTGTATGGGCTACAGCAAGATGTGCCCAGGAATTGTTTCAGCCCACAGTTTAAGCTTGCTCTAGTGTGTTGGAAGTTTCATAATTGCACTTGCCATGATTTTGCCGTTCAGCTGCCTGAGCCGTTTCTGTACGTTTCCCTTTTGCCTGGTAGTGAAAGGAGAAATTACTCTGATCAAGGGGATAATTTCAGAATTTTTTTTTTCACCCTTCCCTTTCTTTATTAATCTCTCAGCACTCAATAGCTTCATAGCAAAGACTTCAGATGCTTCCAAGCAGAGCTCAAAGGAAGGGAACAACGTGCCGCTGGGGATCAGCCTGCTGCGTGCCCTGGGGATAAGAGACTTGTCCTTATCCCTCGGATCTCTCCCTTGATTCGTACCTACTCTACAAATCTAGCTTACAGCTCTCGTCACTGGATTCTGCCCTCAGGTGCTCTGCGGTAGTTCTGTTGATAGCAGTGGAGTTGCTCAGGAATTACACCAGCAGAAACATGAGCAGAATTTGGCCTGGGGATGTTTCCTAACCAGTGAGAGAACAAGAAAGAGAAATATCTTCAAAGTAACGCAAACACAAGACACTTTTCCAGCAATGTGTTCCTACGTTTGGACATCATCCAGAGAGCTCTCTGGTTTAGCTCTATATGTGCTGGGTGGTTTTGTGTCTAATTTTCTTGTTCTAAAGCTGGGCTTAGTGCAGGTTAGAGTTCTTTCAAAGGCAGGGAAGTGCCTTCAGCTGTTCGTGCTTTAGCTGGTCAGTTCGTAGGGAGGTGTAACACAATACAGACTCCATGAGGTTAAATTCACACCTGGCTTGACTCCACTGTTTTTTAGTGGATTTACTGTAGTGACGCATATGGCCCATCTGTTCCTCCTGCACTCATCAGCAATATATCCTCCTTACCATCACGCTGCTTGGTTATATAAGGAGAGCTGAAGAAGTCAGGTGATCATGTTTAGACCCTCCCCCTTATTTTTACCTCTTCCACAAAGTGAGGCACAGCTCCGTGGTCATTTTTAAGACGGTGCTTGGGAGGGTTTTGCCCTACTCTTGCTGTGTGCGCTTTTCAACAAGGTCCGGATTTTCAGATGTTTGCACTATTTTTTTTTATAAAACAGTGCAGATTCCCATCACATATATAGAATTGTCACTTTGGAGCAGCTCTACGAAACTCACACCTTTGAATATCTACGAGTTAGAGGAAAATTGCCTCTAGCCTTTGTTTGCAATATGTACATGAAAGACATCTGCAGAAGAGGACCCCCATGGGATTCACCCTCTTACAGCAAGAAAATTTGGGGCTGAGCAGCCCTCTCTTAATTGGGTGCCTTGCAGCAGTTTCTAGTGTCTAATTGGGCATCATGCTGTCTTTCCAGGGAATGACTCAGTCCCGTCCCATTATATCTCCTCCTTCTGTATCAGTATTATTCTTATTATGACACCTCCCAGGCAAGCTTGCATCTCTGAACATGAAAATAACTCATCTTAATGAGACTGAAGTGCATGTTGCCTAGCAACACAGCATCACAAGGGTCTTCATATGCTGAGCTAGGAAAGGCACTTAACTTAATGGGGCTGTTTTCACTGCACTGTTGTGTCTTTGAACCAAGTTGTGCAGGGGGAAATATTTGTGCCGGAGAGAGAGGGAGGTGCGGGTAGAATGCATCATTAGAGTGGAATCTGTGCAAAGAGACAATGTGCCTTAGTTCCCCAGGTTAGAGGGGACAGTTGGGTTGCATGACCTAGTTTCTCTTGGGAAGGAGGCAGACCACTGCCCGGGGAGAAGGCTCCCATGTTCTGTGAGAGCAGCTGCTATTCTCTCTGCTCTGTGTCTTGCTCACCAGCTGTCAGAATCCATGAGATCTATCTGATGAATCAGTGCCAAACCTGACAAATCAGCTCTGACTGGTAGCGTAGCACAGAGAATTGAGCGAGCCCAGATTGGAGATGGCATATGATGATAGCCAATGAAAAATGGAATTGATAAATCTTCCCCTCTAGGAATCCTCCTACCTGTTTTCCTTGTATGAAAAGGTTGGGGTTTCTTCTGTTCCTGGCCCACTGCAGCATGGAGAGGTGGTGGCAGCATCACTAAATCACTTGTCCAGTGAAAAGCACCTCTATGACTTTATTTCCCATTGCAGACTGCCCCAAATATTGGGAGCTTTTAGCCCTCACGATGATAAACTACCTGCCTTTCTCTTTCCCGGCTACCAGAGGCAGGAAACACTGCACATGTATAGTACTTTCCTGCAAACAATAGGGAAGATAAGCTTACTGGAATGAGGATAATTCATGACTGCTAGTCGTGGCTGCAGCCCACTAAGGCACAGGGATATGCTGCAACAGCTCCGCCTGAACCTTAGGACTTTGACGTGGATGTTTTTCTCTTGATGTTTTGATTAGGTTCATCTCCATCTTGGTCCTAGAGAGCACACTCATGTTAGAGTCTCAGTCTCTCTCTATTTGCAGGACTTCTCCTATGATGACTCAAAGGTGGAGTTTAATGTTGATGCCCCGAATGGCGTGGTGATGGAAGGCTACCTCTTCAAGAGAGCTAGCAATGCTTTCAAAACATGGAATCGGTGAGTAATAACTCATATTCCACTTGATATTTGGGCTAAGACTCTGAACATGACAAATACTGCCTGCACAGCAATATATATCACTTTTAGTGATATTTTAGCGACAGTTAATGAGGTTGGTTTGACAGTTTCTGCATACAGAGCCTTTTCTCTTAGGAGCATTTTGCATGTGGGTTGAGGGAGGTGATCCTTACTCAGCAGTGGTGAGACCACATCTGGAGTACTGTGTCCAGTTCTGGGTTCCCCAGCACAAGAACAATATGGACTTACTGGAGGGGGTCCAGTGAAGGGCCACGAAGGTGATTAAGGGGCTGGAACAGCTCTCGTAAGGAAGGGCAGAGCGAGCTGGAACTCTTCAGCCTGGAGAAGAGAAGGCTTGGGGGGGATCTTATCAATGTGTACAAATTCCTCTTGGGAGGGGATGAAGAAGAGGGAGCCAGACTTCTCAACAGTGCCTAGTGACAGGACAAGAGGCAACGGGCACATCTTAAAAACATGAAATTTCATCTGAACGCAAGGAACCGCTTTTTTACTGTGAGGAGGGTGAGGCAGTAGAGCAGGTTGCCCTGAGAGGTTGTGAAGTCTCCATCTGTGGAGATACTCAAAAACCACCTGGGCACTGTCCTGGGCAGCCTGCTTTAGCGGGCCCTGCCTGGGCAGGAGGGTTGGACTGGGTGGTCTGAAGAGGTTCCTTTCAACCAAAGTGACTTTGTGATTCTGCTGAGAACCTGTCGCCTGCACATAAGATCAGAACTTGAAGCCATGTTAGTGTAACTGCACGTGAGTAAGTCCTCCTGAGAGAAACAGCATCTCGAGAGAGATTAATGTCATCTTCTCAACACCCTAACCTGGTTATGTGGCACCAAGTTAGCTCAGAGCAAGAGAGGAATAAGCATCTGCTTCATTGCAATGATGCTTTAAGACCACATAAATTTTCTACCAGCTCATTATAACTCATGTGCTGAGCTTGTAGAGCCACTTGCTTTGCAGGGCTTTGATACCGGTGTGTTGGAGACATGTACACTAATCAATAAGAGAGCTAGATGCTGTGTAGTTTATGTAAGTGATTATGATTTCCCTGTTCAGAACCAGGTATGCTTTCTGTGAAGCTGTCTATTCCTCTTTGGCTACATCCTGGAATGAGCCAGCTCGTGTTTTGCTGCATCTTAGTAAATGCCAGGAAAAAAAAAACAAACAGCAGAAGAATGACCAGATTCCATGCAGGGAAGACAGGGCACAATGCAGCTCCAGTCTTGCCATAGGAAAGCTATAAATTTATAATAATTAAGAGAAATACCCTAACATAGCAGGGCATGCCATGAGTATCAGACCTGTCTGTTTTGGGATGGGGAGATAAGTGAGAAATATCAATTGTGAGCGTGGAAATATCAATTGTGCTGCTGGGAGCTGAGAAATGGCTTTCTGTGCACTGACCCCGCTCTTAATAATTTATAAATATTTATCTGATAGGTCACTGGGAAGGCCAGGCTCCTGCACTAGTCAGGAGGCTCTGCAGCTGCCAGAGACCTTGGGAAGTGGAAGCAAAGGTTTCATGTTCTAGCCTTGCTCGATATTTGTGTGTTTAGTTTCCCTTGAGATAGTCAGTGGGTTTCATACATGGTTGTGCAAAAGGGTTCAGACCCTTCCAGTGAATTTCTAATGCGCGAGATCGATGCCTTTTGAGACACGTTTCCTCCTCTCACATAACACACTGAGAGATCTTTTACTCGGCTATGGGATACACTGTCATAGGATCCTAGAGTGGTTGGGTTGAAAGGGACCTTAAAACTTGTCTGGTTCTAACCCCCCTGCCCCTGGCAGGGCCACCTTCCACCAGCCCAGGTTGCCCAAAGCCCCGTCCAACCTGGCCTTGAACCCTTCCAGGGAGGGGGCAGCCACAGCTTCTCTGGGCAGCCTGTGCCAGGGCCTCACCCCCCTCACAGGGAAGAATTTCTTCCTTCTACATCATCTAAATCTCCCCTCTTTCAGTTTAAAACCTTTACCCCTTGTCCTATCACTACATACATTCAAAGTATACACCACAGCAAGGCTGAAACGTGCTGTTGTCAGACTTCGGAATAAATAAGCACTAAATGGTTCAGTGAACAGTTTGTGGTATGCGCAGAGACTGCCTGGTTTTGCTTGGAAAAAAGATTGAAATTGTTAGAGATCTCTGAACTGGTTAGATAAGTGTTTCTCTCTGAAGCTTCCCCTAGTACTAAGGAGACTGCAGTCAAATTCAGTACAATTCTGTTACCCCCTCAGGCTCTCTGGTCCCCTGACAGTTAAGTACTAAGTTTGCACTTGAAGGAACCAGAAACCAGAACAGCAGCTACAGCACAGCGCATCGTGGTGTTTGATTTCAGTGCTCGCGAGCTGCTGCACTCGGAAGGTGTCTTAGCTGAATTTTTATCCACCTTTTAGGATTCCCTGCTTGGTGTTTCCTAAGCAAAGTGCAGCCTCGGTCCATGGCACGGCTGCTTTCACTGACACCACGTGAGGTCGTTCCAAAGTGTGGCAGGTTAAGGTCAAGATTTGTGCTTGACTCTTGGGATGGGAATGATTTCAGGCAGCTCCCTCCCAGCAACTCCCCTGGCTGGGAATTCAAGGGCCATTCCAAAGGGCACTTCTCCTGGAGGAAATGTGACCCTCTGGGACTTTCTGGTTTTCCTGAGGTCTGAAGTAATGTTAGCGTCAAGGGCTTCATTTTTTTTTCCCTGTCCCCCAAATCCCAGCTCTCCTCCCTGTATCCTCCCACATCCCAGGCATACACAGTCTGTATCCTCCCCACAGCCAGCTCTGTCTCCAGTCCCACCCACTCTCAGCCATATCTACTCACACCTTAGCTATTCACAGCTCCTGTAGCCTACTCATCACCTTCGCACTGTCACTCAGCTATTCACTGTTAGTGCCTCCCCCTCGTGTGAGCGGGAGGGAGCGGGCAGAACAGCAAAAACCCCCAGTTTGAGGATATCAGGCCAGGAGCCAGCACCAGGCAGAGATGGGTGCTCTGGGCTGGCGAGCAGGAGAGCACAGCTGCAAGGAGCAGAGACCAGAACCCGAGAGACCAACTTTCCGCTCGGCTTCATGTGCCAGCATAGCTCCCTGAGCAGAGATTGCTGCTGTCACAGCAGCTCAGAATGATGCAGAACCATATCAGCTCATCAAAACGAGCTCCCTCGTAGATGGGATGGCCTCCAGTTACCTGTATTTTTCCCATTTCTCCACAGGCATGTCAAGTCCTTTTGTTGTCTCTTATCTGTTTAATATTTCAGCTGTGACAAAAGAGAGAATCCTGTCTCGTCTCATTTTCCCAGGGAACCTAGTTCTTTTGCAAGCAGAGTATAAAACACATGCTCTAAATAACATCTTACTGCAAGCCTCTTTGACTCCACGCTCAGGTATTCCAGTACCTTCTTCCTGAAGCTTAGTGATGCTCGTGGCTTCCATTGCCCTCCATGAAGATGATCGGATTGCTAAATTTTAGGCTGTATCTTGGAATAAGGAAGTGACTTGGGGGTTTAGATTTAGCACTGAAGATTATGACACCTGGTGGGTAGTATAGCCTATATAAAGAGCAAAATGTGCAACTCATTCATATTATTTTCTCCAACGCTATTTGTAGAGCTGCCAGTTCGCAGGGTTTTCTGAGATGGATTTTATTTTTTTCCGCACCTGGAAGTTTCTTCGTGTTATCAAGAAATTTCTGTCTTGCCTTATGACAAGCCTGCTTGGAGAGGCAGCAGGCGCACGGCATCTGCAAATACTCCAGCTTCACCAGTCAAATATGTTCACTGCCAGTGCAAGTGTGCTCTAACCGGTGTAACATGTCCCACGGGCACTGGATTTACTGCCAGTGTGCACACACAGGCTTCTGCCTCAGAAATTGTAGGCAGTAATATGGGACTTCCCTACTCCTTTGTTTCTTGTCTTTCCTTCCTTCTTGTTATACGTTGACACATCTAGAACACTTGCCAGTCTAGCATCTCAATGCCGGGAGCATTCCCTGAGGCTGTAAATCCTTTGTTTATTCTTTGAGGGAGGGCACTGAGCGTTTCTTGTGACATTAGTTTCCAACTTCTTGGAATAAATGACACTCTCTTTAAATGGAGAGAGATCCTGCTCTGCCGCAGAACAGACTGCCTCTCTGTAGCTCTGCTGTTCACTTGTTCTGATGTCTGTCTGTCTGTCTGTCTTCCCTCAGGAGGTGGTTCTCCATACAGAACAGTCAGCTGGTGTACCAGAAAAAGCTAAAGGTCAGTGAGGCTACTCCAGATGACACTGGTAGATTAGCCAATTTGTCTGGTATCCTGCTTTGCTGGGGACTTCTGCACCATGGCGGGGGAGCGGGGTGGAACGAGTCAGGAGGGGAATTGGATCAGAGGGACAGCAAGCCTATTCAGGCATTATTGTGCTCCAGAGTTAGACTGTACTAAGAACTAAGTAGCAGCAGATGGTGTCTGTGGTGTTCGAAATATTCCTGTTGAGCAGAGGAAGCTGGCGAAGTCCCCAGTATACCTGCCCCTTCACGTGTGTGTTGCCCCACGCTTTGATTCCGTACGACCCCTTCCTATTGCCCTAGAGTTACCTGGTGGTGGGCTGGCTCTGCTCCTTCTGGACTCAGCATGTGCTGACCAGCAGGGTTGGGGAAGCGATTTTCTGAGAGAGGCCTGATTATGACACAGATTGGGGGAGCCACCAAAGCCACCTCTTCTCACCCTTGCAGGATGTCCTCACGGTAGTGGTGGAAGACCTGCGGCTCTGTACTGTCAAGCCGTGTGAAGACATAGAGAGGAGGTTTTGCTTTGAGGTCGTCTCACCTACCAAGTAAGTTTGGTGGCTTCCCTAGGCCATCCTCATGGTAGCTGGACTGTGCGTGGAACTGCAGGAGATTAGATTTGAGCAGATGCTGCCCTGGGCTATTAAATGTTGACTGGGAGATACCATTACCCGTGCTCCAGAGTGCCTGTGAGGTTCATCAGACATCAGCATAAGTCAGAGCTAGGCTACACATATCTAATACACAGATTGACAGTGAAAATGGCAGCGGTCAGCTTTTCAAAACAGTTAGCAGACCTGCCTGGAGTTTTTGAAGGGGGAACACCTCTGATGGTGCAAGCTTGTAGGATTAATTTTTGCCCCATTGCCTGTCAAATCAAGATGCTGCCCCCATTGGAATGTCCGTGCTGAGGATGAAATGCAACATTTCTCACCAAAACGTGCACTCCGTCCTTTTGCTCTTTCCAACTCGTTTCCTTCCTTCACAGGAGCTGTATGCTGCAGGCTGACTCGGAGAAGCTGCGCCAGGCCTGGATTCAGGCTGTCCAAGCTAGCATTGCTTCTGCCTACCGGGAGAGTCCCGACAGCTATTACATTGAAGTGAGTGAAGGGGTCGTGAAAGATCCGTATTTGTGTCTCGGAGCCCTGACAGGGGGCTTTTGGGCTGTGGCAGGTCCAGTGTGGGCGCGTGGGCCATTTGGAAATACTCTTCTGCCCTCAAGGAAGGGAGCTGATGTCAGTGCTAACTCAAAGGCAACAACTGTTCACCAACCAAAGTCACACTTGTAAAGCAGCACTGGGGGAAAGGCAAGGCTTTGATCAGTGTTGTCTTAACATCTTCATTTTCTTGCCATCACGCTGGATTGATATTCCCCTGGGAATTATGTTCCCTGGGGAGAGCTTGCTCCCTAGCTGGGACAAGTGCAAGCAAGGCACCGCGATAGCGGGTCTGCGTGCTGCCTGCTCTCCCAGAGCAGGGCCGGGGTGCAGCCCTGTCTTGTGGCTATAATAGAGATTAACGAGGCTTTACCTGTTCCCTTCTTGGACTGGCCCTAGGTTATCCTTCAAGGTAATGCTTCCTATCAGTGCCTCTGCTATGCAAAGCTCTGGATCGTTCCACAGTGCTTTACAGAATCCCAGAACCCTTTTATTTTCCTCGCAGAGACTGGACCGGACTGCTTCCCCATCAACTAGCAGCATTGATTCTGCTACCGACTCCCGGGAGCGTAGTGTGAAAGGTGAAACCATCCTGCAGAGGGTGCAGAGCATCCCTGGGAATGACCAGTGCTGTGACTGTGGTCAGCCCGATCCTCGCTGGGCCAGTATCAACCTGGGCATTCTGCTGTGCATCGAGTGCTCCGGTATCCACAGGTACTGTGTTGCCAGCCAGTGGTGGGTTGCAAGCTCCTAGAAAAAACAGCGGAGCCTGAATTACAACTGACTATAGCATTTATATGGATAGATTCAAAAATAATTGCCTGCTGTGTGTGGTACCTGTGCGTGCAGGTACATCTGCATATGCGTATACATGAAAATCTCTGCTATAGCTACAGATAAATACATAAGAACCGGGTTGACCTTGTTCATCTTATGATGCATGAGAAGTTCTGTTTTGAGGCACATAACCATTTCAGTTTTCTTCTTTTTGGGTAAATAGGAGTCTGGGTGTTCACTGCTCCAAGGTCCGATCTCTCACACTGGACTCCTGGGAGCCAGAGTTACTGAAAGTGAGTGTTGGCTTTTAACAGCAAGAACTAGGCAAGTGGTGGACGTGAGGGAAGTCTTACTTGGTGGCAGGCTAGACTAGAGAGAAGGTAGCTCCTCACCGGAGGATTTCACTCATTCCCTGTTGTATTGCAGCTGATGTGCGAGCTGGGGAACAGTACCATGAATCAGATTTATGAGGCACAATGTGAGGAGTTGGGACTTAAGAAGCCAACAGCCGGGAGCTCCAGGTGAGTCTGAGTGCACACACTGCTCCTCTCAGTCCCGTGGAAAGTTATCCATCCACAGAGCAAACCAGTACCTAAGCTCTCTGGAAAGCCAGATTAAAAGTGTGACTGGCCCTTTACTGAGAGCCAAAACTACCTCAGGTTACACCTATCTCAGCCTGTCCCTCTGTAGCTAGCCTGAGCTGGACTCTCAGAAAGGTCAGTGGGGCATTACCAGCCAGAAACCTGGTGAAAGATGCTTGGGAACCAGGGCTTGCTGCATTTACACCTGCTCTGATGCTTTTCAGATACGTGTAACTGGAGCACATAGTGTTGCCTAGGGCTGAACATCTCATTCCATTTTCAGCTACACCCTGCACTCCTTAGTTTTGCTTTGAAATTGGGAGATCTTTTTAGGTTTGAGAAACTCCACCTTCTTAATATAGGCCTCAATGATTTTTAGGACTCAAAAGCCAGGCTGACACCATGACCCGGAGCAGCTCCATCTCCTCCTGGCTCTTTGCTTTAGGCGAATGGGTCAGAGAGTGGAACAGGCTGCCCAGGGAGGGGGGAGTCCCCATCCCTGGGGGTGTTTAAGGGTCGTTGGGATGAGCTGTTGGGGGATGTGGGGTAGGGGAGAGCTCATAGAGTCGGGCTGAGGGTTGGACTCAATGATCCCGAGGGGCTTTTCCAACCGGAATGATTCTGTGATCCTGTGCACAGCTTTATGCTGCTCTTCTCTTAGGCAGGACAAGGAAGCCTGGATCAAGGTGAAATACGTAGAGAAGAAATTCCTGAAGAAGCTGCCAAATGGGGAGACTCTAACAGAGAACGAGCGGAAGCCTCGACGCTGGTGTGTGAAGAAGTGCCAGAGACACAACAGCACCACGAAAGCACCCACGGCTCGTAGAAAGTACCGCCACGAAGCTGGCAGCGCCTCGCCAGCCATGCTGTCCTCAGGTGGGCACCTCAGGGACCCCGCTCCCCTCCCAGAGCTGTCTTGGCCTGCCCACTGCTCTCCCTAGGTGTGTGCACGACTGCCCTAGGAACACGTGTGGCCCTGTCTGCCTGCCAGAGGTAGAGGCAAAAAAAATGCTGTCGCACAGACTGTGGTGACACAGGTCTTCAGAGCCATTTTCTAACCTTTTCCATCTGTTTAAGGAGGTTCTTGTGGCTAAAGGAGATCATTACCCTAGGGCGACCCAGCAGCTTCTAAGCTTGCTTTGTGCGTTTTCTTTTGTATTCCAGCTTCCTGCTTTTTACTGAGTTTCAAATCCTTTCCTTTTTACCTGATGTGTAAGAGAGGCCATGCTTGTGAGGGGTTCTGGCTGCTCAGAACGCTCTGGGAAGATCCAGTCTGCAGCGTATCACCTCCTGCGGTCAGGGCTTTTTTATATTTTGATGGTGTACGTGGGCCTGAGTACGGCCCTGGACACATCTGGGGCACGTTGGACATGCAAGCTCAGCCTGTGTAAATACAGCTGTAGAACCGTCCCTCGTTTGCATGTTATTAACTATGCATTTCAAAATCTCTGTATAAAATAGCAGCTACGCTGGAGAGGAAGTTCCGTCGAGATTCTCTCTTCTGCCCTGATGAGCTGGACTCTCTCTTCTCCTACTTCGACACTGGTGCTGGCTCTGGCCCACGCAGTAAGTACAAAGAAAGAGTCTCTGCTCCTGGCACGTTTTTACCTCCCAGCTCTTCTAGGGCATGCGCGTTGCACCAGACCTAAGGCAAGGTGTTGGCCTCACTGGAGAGAGGGTAAATGTTTCAGAAGAGTGATGAGGAGTTAGTTGCACAAACTCCAACTCATTGCTCTTTTATTGCACTTACTATTTGAATATCCTACCCAGTCAGTCGCTGGTGTTTGCATTCTGGTGGCTGGGGTTTTTTCCCCAATATCTTTTACTCCCAGGCTATGCATTCCATTGGCTTTTTTTTTTTTTTCTGGTTTTAGTTTTGGCTTATAGTTTTTTTTTTTCCTTTTTTAGCAAGTCTTACTGCGGACAATTTTTCTTTTTGTGTTTGTGACGATGAACTCCCCTCATGTTCCGTCCACCTTCCTCTAGGTGCCAGCCACATCTCTATGCAGCATCCGCTAACAGGTGGCCCATGGAGTGGCAGTGGCATTGGTCCCGGTGGGAGCGGTACGCCGTTCCTCCTGGACGGAGGTAAGGTGACGCTCTGGCAGCTAGCAGCAAAAGAGACATCCAAATTTTACTTGTTCCAAACCAAGCTTCAGAGGCAGTTTTGTATTTTCTTTCAGCCAAATGATTGGAACCCATACGTTACCAGTCCCTTGTGGGAAAGACAGGCTTGGCAGACTTGGCGAAAGGCTAAAAGGTTCCCAACAGTCAGGTTACTACATCTTAAAGGAACAACTGCCCCTCAGATGAGAGAAAGGATCCAATCCTCTACAGGTGGGATCTCATGGCAAATAGGAAATAAGCAGCATTTACTTCAAATGCTCCCCCATCCGTCACAGACTAGCCGTGTGGCCCGTTACCATACTTGGCCGAGGAGTGGTAGCTTTTTAAAACTTATTAGCTCAGCTGCTTGTAATTGTGTGAACTTATGAGAAATATTTAGAGTCTTCCAAACAGCAGAAAATCACAGGCTTTTCTAAAAGTACGTGTTCCTGCTTGAAATCGGTGAGGAAGGTGCTTTAGTGGTTGTCTGAATCGGTGCCTCCAGGGCTATTCCAGTTTCAAGGGCTTTAGTGTTATTGGTCAACAGAAACAATGCTTGGGAGATGTAGAACTTCAGGGTTGCTCAACAGCCTTATCTGGCTCCTGTAGAAGACAGGAATTTTGTCATGGATTCAGTGGGGACAGAACTGGGAATTTGACATATTAATATTCATGAGCTATGAGCCAGCTCCTCCTTTCTTGCTTTGATGCAGGTCTAAAGTAGTGCCATGTGGCCTCGCTGGACTCACTCTTCATTGTACTGACAAAATAGAAAGTAGTCTCACCAAGCAGTATGTTTGCTTTCTACAAAAAACAGCAAAGACTTTTTTTTTTTTTTTTTTTTTTGCACGATGTGTGCCACTTTAAACCTTTCCTGTTGTTGTAGCTTCGTTATCTCCTTTGGCTGTTGAACAGTGCTGAAGGATTGCTTGTGAGCTGTGACCTCAGGACCCCTGGTTGAGAGGCTGTTCTTTGTCCAGGACCTGGCTGTGGCTGCTCTGGAGATTTCAACGTTTCAACGGGCAGCCTTTAGGGTTAAGGTGTTTTGTTCTGCTCGGGTTTTCAAGACTCAGATCTTTAGTTCTTGCAGCTTTCCTGCTATTACTCTTTGCAAAGACTACTCGGCTCATGTTTTAGAAACATTTTGTCAGCTGCAACCTGGATTGTTTTTCTTCCTAATCACAGTTGTTTGAGGGTAGGTCTTGGGGTAGATCGTGGGGATTTAACCGTCTGAGTTCTGGGAGCACAGACACCCCCAGCCCTTACAGTTATTGGGAAGTTAAAAGCAGCAAGAAGCTGAATCCAGCCAGAGTTCCCAAAGGGGCCGGGCATCCCTCAGGGCAAAGGTGATGTGCCATCCCTGTTCCTGCGGCGGCAGTTTCTGCATGTGCTTCTTCCTTCCTTCTGTCATTTTCTTGACTGCTTTTGGGCGCAAACTGGAAAAGGTACAGAGTTTCTCTGCCCCGACACATTGTGTGTTCTTGGACAAGTTGCTTCATCTCTTCATGACTCCATTTCTTGTATGTAGTCAGCTGTCTTGTGACATTCACCAGCTAAGCAGGGAAGGTGGGAAGCACTGTGGGAGAAGGGAAGGGATGTCTGTGAAGGTGGAGGAGCCAACAGACAATGGTTTTTAAGAATTTGGCTTGAGATACGCACTTTGATATAATTTGGCCCAGTCACGGTCAGTGATCTCTCACGAGCAATGCATTGGCAAGTGCCCCAGTGAAAACTGAAAAGCTCTGGGGAGAGCACGGATAGAGTGGAAACTGAGATTATTAGTGGTAAAAGCAGAGCAGTGTCTTCATTTGCTTGTGACACTGCAAAACCTGCTGCAAAGCTGTCTCTGCTGCTGCTCTGCTCCAGTCTCCGTCACGGCGTCCCTCATGGATTGCAGCAAGGGCTGTCCTCAGCAGCCCAAAGTGCCATGGCAATGTTGGAACATCCCTGCATGAAGGGCAGCGTGGGGACACGGACACCATAAGGCTTTGCAATTTTTCCTTGGGCAGTTTTATTGAGTGGGGCTAAATGGGCTAGCAGTCCCCCTCTCCCTTGTCAGCAGTGCCCGGTGCAATGTGTGTGTGACATTTCTGCTCAGCCCTTTTTCCCCCCCGTGGTCTCAGCTGTGCCTGGTTCTGGAATGCCTGTGTATTAAAATGGGCTTGGTTTGTCTTCTGTTGGCCCTGCAGGTCTGAGCAGCGACAGCGGGCTTGGAGGAAGCACAGATGGCAGCACTGACATCCTGGTGTTTGGCTCTGTGGTGGACAGCGTGACGGAGGAAGGTGGGTGTCACAGGCTGTTGGTGGAGGCAGGATGGATGGGCTGGACTGCCTGGTGCCAAGAACAACAGGGAACATCAGAAATTGGAAATGCAAAGCTTTTTGGGTCACCTCTCTCCATCCTTTTCTGCCTCTTAGAGTGTGAGGTGTCGGAGGAGTCAAGCGGCGAAGCGGAGATTGAACAGGAGGCATCAGATTTGGAGGACCTGAGGGAGCTGCATCCTGGCTTGTTGATCTACAAGGCAGCACAAGCCCGAAACCTGCCTCTCATGGCAGAAGCACTTGCACATGGTGCTGAGATCAACTGGGTGAATGACGAAGACGAAAACAAAACTCCTCTGATTCAAGCTGTGATGGGGGTACGTCGTGCTGGTGGCCGGGAGGCCGCTGTGAGCCCCTGACTCTAGTTCAGAGCACGCTGCCAGCGGGCAGCTTACAGCCTGGCACGTGCTCGTGCCTCCTCTTGGTACTGCTGGCTGAATTTATTTAGAAATTCCCCTTTACCTTGCCAGGGCTCCTTGATAGCCTGCGAATTCCTGCTGCAGAATGGGGCAGATGTTAACCAAAGAGATAGCCGAGGCCGCGCTCCCTTGCATCACGCCACGTACCTCGGGCACACTGGGTGAGTTCTTGGCACGTTGCAGTGAGATGCTCCCTCACCCTTGGGTTGAGGATCAGCGTGAACACTGGGATTCACAGGGTGAGGCGGGCCACGGAGCTGGGTTTTGGTGAATTTTGCAAAACATGCCTTTTTTTTATATCACATCAACAATTTGTCTTAAGGGTATTTGCCCCCATGATGGATGATAGCTGGGGGGTAACTGGGCCCTTGTACCCCCATTCCTTTCCCCAGCCATGCCTGCCTGTGGAAGGACAGTGCCCTCTGCCCCCTTCAGTGCGGGCTGGGGGAGCTGGAATTTCTGCTCTGATGGGTTTTTTCTTTCTCTCCTGCAGTCAGGTCTGCTTGTTCCTCAAGCGAGGGGCAAACCAGCACGCGGTGGATGGCGATGGGCAGGACCCGCTCAGTATTGCTGTCCAGGCAGCCAATGCAGACATAGTTACCTTGTAAGTGCAGCCAGGACTTCGCAGTGTGTGTGTGTGTGTACAGGAACGCTGCCTGTAAATAGCCATCAGGGAAGGAATAACCAAACCTCTCTCCCTTGTGCTTTCTCCGTTTCGCTCTAGGCTGCGTCTGGCTCGGATGAACGAGGAGATGCGAGAAGCAGAGGGTCCCTTTGGACAACCAGGTCAATATCCCAGCAACAGCCCTACTGAGCTGCAGTACAGGAAGTGTATACAGGAGTTCATCAGCCTTAATATAGATGAGTGTTAGTGACAACTCCCCCACCTCCCCTTTGCTGTCTTGAAGTTGGGCTGAATTTCTAAAAGCCCCGAGAGCCCCATCCTTGGTATACTGGTGTTTCTTGCAGATTGGTCTGTTTTTGATGCCTGCACATATAGGTTGAGATGTGCACAGGAAGGAAAAGGGGTCTTTCCTGTTAGTGTTAAGTTCTCATGCTTGACTACTGGATGGTTGATTTTGTGTAGGAGACTCCTAGGGCATAACCACAGACCATGGCGTGTGGACTTGAGTGTGTGAAAAGTATGGGAGAAGAGTTTAGCATTTAAAAAAAAAAAAAAAGAACAAAATTAAAAAAAAAAAAAAAAAGAGAAACCCACCAACAGTATGATCAGATGAACCTGTCTCTGCGTCAGTGTAGTTACCAGGCACTGACTTCTCGTCTGAGCAGTTTGTTGGGAAGGGATTCTGACGTGGAGCCTCTGTCCCGGCAGCAGGACCAGCACCCTGCTCTCTCACGGGACTGCTGCAGCGCCTGGCAGCTGCCAGGGCCACTTTAGAAACCTAAAAGATGACCTCTAAGTCAGGAGCAGGCTGTTTCGTGGCGCAGAGAGATTTCTGCTCCAGAAGGCACGAGAGAAGGGGTGGGATTGAGGGCGATGGCTACTCACCCTAAATGCTCTCAGGACTGCACCAGCCACGCTCCCCTTTCCGTGCCTGTGGTGGTTAGCTGGTCAAAGCCATAGCTCGCCTGCTTCCTGGGCCAAGATGCAATCAGTCTGCAGGGTGTTACAGAAGCAGCAGTGCTAATTTTTTTTTTTTTTTATTTGGAGGCTGGGAGAAGCTTGTCGCTGGCGATGGGCTTTGTGTCAGGGAAGAAAAGCCACGTCCAACTCCCACTGCCCAAACGGCTGCCTGCACGATGCAGTTTGACTTGGGTTCAGTTTGTTTCCTGGTCGCTTCAGATTTCTGACTTGGCACCTGTGTGAAGGAAACGTCTACTCGCGTGTGTTACCCCTCTGTGCTCTCCTCCACGTGCTAAAGCATGTGAGTAGGGCACCTCAGCAGCTGGCCCGGGGCCTTTTGAGTTCCCCAGTTCCAATGACTGGCAGAATCTTCTTTTTGTTTCTTTCCTCGTATTATTCTTCGCTAGACTGGGGGAATGTTGTTTTTACTTAGAGCACTTTGTTGCCGTATTTATGGTCTGTGTTAGGGATCATGCTGCAGTAGCTCTGCTGAGATGCTGCAGCCGTGTAATCCTGCCTGGGGAGGGCTTACAGACTGCACTTGGATGCCAAGCTGAGCTGTGCTCCTGTAAGAGCCTCTTCAAAACGCCCTTAACTGCAAGTGACATCTGAATTTTTCAGGACTCGTGGGTGGTATTTATAGCCTGCCTGGGCACCTAGGCTGCTGGCTCTGGGGTTGGGCCGTAGTGCCTTACGGATAGTGCTGGGATCTTGAGGGGATCAGGATCTCACAAGGAATGCAAGAATACCAGGCAGAGTTCCCCATCCTCCTGCATTCCATCAGCAGTGATCCACAATCATACTCTTTTTCACCCAATACACGTTAGACTACTTTTTTTTTTTTTTGTATACTGGCTGCTGTCATGCTGCAGCCCTCAGTGGATGAAACCTTTGCAGGTTTGTTTCTATCGACAAAATTGTGTCCTCCGATACTGAAGCAACAGTGCTCCAGCTCTTCACTCAAGATACTGCCCTCGGAGACTAATCCGACAGCACTCGGTGTCCACACACACATCTAAAAGTGGAGCAATAAAGAAACTCCACTTAGTCTCTAGTAGGGTGACCTCTCGGTTCAAGGGAGAGTCGCTGCTTCCTTAGGAAAGTGCTGTCCCAAGTTTTGCTGCAGCCAGACCAGTTTTCTGGGTCTTGAAGTCCATCTTTTCTCATTCTTGTTCCCTTTGGAGCTTTGGGGTGCTGAGTTCTGCTCTCAGTCCCAGTTGTCTGTTGTTAATCTGAAGCGATCCTGGTGACGGCGCTGAAACTGCTGCGGAGCCACGGCGGTGCAAAGTCAGGCCTAAATCTATGAGCCTGGCCCTGTCAGCCTTTCTATCCTTGGCGATGCCTTTCATGGCATTTTCTCTTCCAGGTTGCATTTAATATGCCCTGGATTAAATTATCTTTCTTCCTGATACCTGTGTGAAGGTATAGCCAGCAAGGCTGCCCGCTCAGCATTTCTTGTGCGGGATTACGGAAGGGTACCACTTCACAGTCTCATGGAGCTTCATCTTTCGGTCCTTTGCATTGGGCTTTGTCTTATTTTTGGTCCAAGTCACCCTAAAATTAAATGGGCTCCCCCACTGAGCAGGGTGGTGCCTTCACTCGTGTGTCACTGCCCCACCTGACACCCCTTTCTTGTCAGCCGAGCTCGCTTACTCTGCAACTGGTGGTAGAGTTACTATCAGTCTGAGTAGGGTCAGGAGTAAATCTAGTTTTAATGCATCAGCACTTAAAGTGCTCAGTACAGGAACCAATATCCAGCCAAGAACTCGCTCTTCTTCCTGGGTTAGGAACCAAGAGATGCTCTGCAATGGATTCTCGTTGATAATCCCATCCCACTTTATACGGATCGGCATCAGCTGAGGCATTTGTCAGTGCTGGTGGCCCCTCAAGCTGTGCCCTTGCCTGGAAAAAGGCCCCACTGAAACAGATCCGGCATCTTTCAGGGTACTTCAGAGATCTTGAAGGTGAAAGAGATGTTCCACCCCTGCCATGGTCCTGCTCTAATGAATTTCAGCATGGTCGTTGTCCAGCGATGTTTTTTGACACGTACAGCAACTTAAAACACCCCAATTGGTTTCCCAGTTGTGTTTTGTTTTGTTTTGTTTTTTTAATGAGAACGTAGAAATATGACTGATCCTTTCTGTAAGCCAGTGAGAACTGGAGACGTGGCTTCCACTTTGGGTCACCTTATTTCACAGTCAGCGTTAGCGGCTCATGAGAACACCACAAAAATCCTGTACGGTTTAGGTCCGTTGAAGCTCAGACTCACTGCTGAAGTACATGAAGTTAAAACCTATGTAAATACTGATGCAAAAAGCAGTGTCTTGCAAGACAATTTATCTATTTAACATGTATTGGTACTTTATTTAGATTCAATGTATAAAGCAACTTTGTGCACTTTTCCTACATACAGTATTGGGGGGCTGTCTCTTATA